ACCCACCTGAAGATCTCCAGAACCTCCTCCCCACCTCGCTATGGGGCAGAAGACCCTCAGAACCCACTTGAAGACCCCAAGAACCCCCTCCCAACATCACCACGGGGCAGAAGACCCCAAGAAGCTACTTGAAGACCTCCAGAAACTCCTCCCCACCTCACTATGGGGCAGAAGACCCCCCAAGAACCCACCTGAAGACCCCCAAGAACCCACCTGAAGACGCGAGGAACCCCCTTGAAGACCTCCAGAACCTTCTCCCCACTTCACTATGGGGCAGCAAAGAACCCACCTGAAGACGCGAGGAACCCACTTGAAGACCCCCAGAACCCTCTCCCCACCTCGCTATGGGGCAGAAGACCCCATGAACCCACCTGAAGACCCAAAGAACCTCCTCCCCACTTCGCTATGGGGCAGAAGACCCCAAGAACCCACCTGAAGACACCCAGAACCTCCTCCCAACTTCCCTAAGGGGCAGAAGACCCCAAGAACCCACTTGAAGACCCCAAGAACCCAACTGAAGACCTCCAGAAAGTCCTCCGCACTTCCCTACGGGGCAGAAGACCCCAAGAACCCACTTGAAGACCCCAAAAACCCAACTGAAGACCCCCAGAACCTCCTCCCAACTTCTCTGTGGGGCAGAAGACCCCAAGAACACCCTTGAAGACCTCCAGAACCTCCTCCGCACTTTGCTATGGGGCAGAAGACACCCAAGAACCCACTTGAAGACCCCAAGAACCCAACTGAAGACTTCCAGAACCTCCTCCCACCTTCCCTCTGGGTCAGAAGACCTCCCAACCCACCGCCCCCCAACCCCGAAGGCCGCCGTGGGTCAGCCCCACATCCTGACCTGCCCGTAGGAGGATGACCTGATCGTCGAGGGGTAACTGGGAGAAGTGGGGGATCCTCTTGGCCCATTCCACCAGCGTGAAGAGCTGCTTGTCGGCGGCCTGGCAGATGTTGGTCACCGGGTCATTGGGCTGATGAGTTGGGGGGCAGCCGGGTGGTTTTTGGGGGGGGGACAAATGGGGGGTCAGAGTGGTCACAATGTCCCCACCCCCGCCCCTTGAAAAAAAAAAATCACTCACCGAGGTGGGGCCGGCGCCGTCAACGCTCTGGTCGGATTTTTGTTCTACGGCGAGTTCGGCTTCCAGGATTTTCTCCACCGGCATCTCCTCGTTGGCGTTGGCCATCAAGTCGCCGTCACCGTCCTTCTCCTTCCCGCGTTGGCGTTCCTCCTGCACGGCTGTGGGGCGGGAAAGGGAGTTATGGGGCTGGGGGACCCATAATATGTCCCATCTTGTTTGGTTGTGGGGCAGGAGACTCCAAAAACCCAATTCGCTGTGGGGCAGAAGATCTGGAGAACCTCCTTTCTTAGTTTGCTATGGGGCAGAAGACCCCCAGAACTGCCCCCCACTTCGCTATGGGGCAGGAGAACCCATAAAACGTCCAGTCCTGCTTCGTCGTGGGGCAGAAGACCCCCAGAACCCAATTTGCCGTGGGGCAGAAGATCTGAAGAACTTATTTCCCAACTTCATCATGCCCCAAGACCTTCCCCACATTGACTATGGGGCTGAAGACCCCCAGAACCTTCTCCCCACTTCACTATGGGGCAGAAAAACCCATAGAACGTCCCGTCCTGCTTCGCTATGGCACAGGAGACCCCAAGAACCCAATTTACTGTGGGGCAGAAGATCTGAAGAACTTCTTTCACTAGTTCATCACGGGGTAGAAAACCTCCAGAACCACCTCCCCACTTTGCTATGGGGCAGGAGAACCCATAGAACCCCCCTCCCCACTTCACTGTGGGGCAGAACACCCCGAGAACCCACCTGAAGACCCCAAGAACCCACTTGAAGACCCCCAGAACCTCCTCCCCACTTCGCTATGGGGCAGAAAACCTCCAGAGCTGCTCCCCCAGCTTCCCTGTGGCACAGAAGACCCCTAAGAACCCACATGAAAACCCCAAGAACCCCCTCCCCGCATCACCATGGGCCAGAAGACCTCCAGAACCCTCTCCTTACTTCACTATGGGGCAGAAGACCCCAAGAACCCACCTGAAGACACCCAGAACTTCCTCCCCATTTTGCTATGGTGCAGAAGACCCCAAGAACCCATCTGAAGACCCCAAGAACCTCCTCCCCACTTTGCTATAGGGCAGAAGACCCCCAAGAACCTACTTGAAGACCCCAAGAACCCACCTGAAGACCCCAAGAACCTCCTCCACACTTCGCTATGGGGCAGAAGACCCCCAAGAACCTACCTGAAGACCCCAGGAACCCACTTGAAAACCCCAAGAACCCCCTTCCCACATCACCATGGGCAAGAAGACCTCCAGAACCTCCTCCCCACTTCGCTATAGGGCAGAAGACCCCAAGAAAACACCTAAAGACCCCAAGAACCTCCTCCCCACTTCGCTATAGGGCAGAAGACCCCAAGAAAACACCTAAAGACCCCAAGAACCTCCTCCCCACGTCGCTATGGGGCAGAAGACCCCATAAAACGTGGTTCCGAGGATCCCCCGCCCCACACGTCGCCGCCGTGGGTCGCACCTTCTCTCTTCATGCCGGTGGCCAGGCACTTCTGGTAGCGGCAGTACTGGCAGCGGTTGCGCTGGCGCTTGTCCACCACGCAGTCCTTGTTGTCCCGGCACGTGTAGGTCAGGTCCTTGCGGATGGTCCTCTTGAAGAAGCCCTTACACCCCTCGCAGCTGTACACCCCATAATGCTTCCCTGGGGGGAGATGTGGGGCGTCAGTGGGGCAGAGAACGCCATAGCGAGGTCGGTGTGGGGTGGAAGACCCCAAAAGTTCTCCTTGGGGATGGGTCTGCTTGAAGAAATCTTGGCTGTACATCCCATAATACTTCCCTGGGGGGAGATGTGGGGCAGCAGTGGGGCAGCAAACCCCATGAGGAGGTCGGTGTGGGGTGGAGGACCCCATAACAACATAAATATGGGGCAGAAAACCCTACAAAGAAGAGATATGAGATAAAAAACCCCAAAAGTTCTCCTTGAAGAACCTCTTGGAGATGTACATAATGCTTCTCTGGGGGGAAATGTGGGGCAGAGAACCCCATGGGGAGGTTGGTGTGGGGCAGGGGACCCCATAATGATGTAAATATGGGGCAGAAAACCCCACTGTGGGGAGCTACGGGGTGGAGAACCCCAAAAGTTCTCCTTGAAGAACCTCTTGGAGATGTACATAATGCTTCTCTGGGGGGAAATGTGGGGCAGAGAACCCCATGGGGAGGTTGGTGTGGGGCAGGGGACCCCATAATGATGTAAATATGGGGCAGAAAACCCCACTGTGGGGAGCTACGGGGTGGAGAACCCCAAAAGTTCTCCTTGAAGAACCTCTTGGAGATGTACATAATGCTTCTCTGGGGGGAAATGTGGGGCAGAGAACCCCATGGGGAGGTTGGTGTGGGGCAGGGGACCCCATAATGATGTAAATATGGGGCAGAAAACCCCACTGTGGGGAGCTACGGGGTGGAGAACCCCAAAAGTTCTCCTTGAAGAACCTCTTGGAGATGTACATAATGCTTCTCTGGGGGGAAATGTGGGGCAGAGAACCCCATGGGGAGGTTGGTGTGGGGCAGGGGACCCCATAATGATGTAAATATGGGGCAGAAAACCCCACTGTGGGGAGCTACGGGGTGGAGAACCCCAAAAGTTCTCCTTGAAGAACCTCTTGAGGCTGCACATCCCATAATGCTTCTCTGGGGGGAGATGTGGGGCAGAGAACCCCATGTGGAGGTTGGTGTGGGGCAGAGGACCCCATAACAATGTAAATATGGGGCAGAAAATCCTATAGAAAAGAGATATGGGATGGAAGACCCCAAAAGTTCTCCTTGAAGAACCTCTTGGAGCTGCACATCCCATAATGCTTCTCTGCGGCGAGATGTGGGGCATCAGTGGGGCAGAAAACCCCATGGGGAGGTCGGTGTGGGGTGGAGGACCCCATAACAACATAAATACGGGGCAGAAAATCCTACAGAGAAGAGATATGAGGTAAACAACCCCAAAAGTTCTCCTTGAAGAACCTCTTGAAGATGTACATCCCATAATGCTTCTCTGGGGGGAAATGTGGGGCAGAGAACCCCATGGGGAGGTTGGTGTGGGGCAGGGGACCCCATAATGATGTAAATATGGGGCAGAAAACCCCACTGTGGGGAGCTACGGGGTGGAGAACCCCAAAAGTTCTCCTTGAAGAACCTCTTGAGGCTGCACATCCCATAATGCTTCTCTGGGAGAAGATATGTGGCAGCAGTGGGGCAGACAACCCCCAAATTTTGGGGTGCCCCCCCCGAAAACCCCCCAAATTTCCCCCTTCCCCCTAAACCCCCCCTCTGAGCCCCCAAATTTCGGGGTGCCCCCCCAGAACCCCCAAAAACCCCTAAATACCCCCTGAAGTACCCCAAATTTTGAGG